AGAGAGAGAGAGAGAGAGAGAGAGAGAGAGAGAGAGAGAGAGAGAGAGAGAGAGATTATTTGATTTGATTTATTTGGTGAATTTTTTAAATTTCTATAGTTATTAGTTAAATAATATTTTATATATAAAATTAATTGTGAATTTATAATTTTAATAAAACTAAAGTTTTATTTTAACATAAATAAAATTTTGAATTTACAATACATTATATTATTTAAAATAAATTTATTAAATTTGTTTAATAATTCGAGACTTAAATTCGTTGTTTGTAATTATATTTCTTGTGTAAAATAAGAATTTAATGAAAAATGATTATTAAACTTATGATTTTATAACTTGTAATGATATAATATACTTAACATTACTGTTATACTGTCGTTAAAAAGAATATACAGTTTAAATTGTATTTAATTACGCATATTTAGTAAATACGTGAATAAATATTTACTTTTAATTGTATTTATTTAATAATAGTTTTACTAAATTCTCAAAATATTTTTAAATAACTTTTAAGCAAAATGTATTTATTCAATAATATTATATTTCTGGGACTAATTATACGTAAGAAATGTTTTAAATGATTAAATTAATGTTTGCATTAAAATGTGTATCAATTGTAGCGTTAAGTGTATGTATTGTTGGCTGTAATGGAAGTCACGCTTCGATTCATTTCTACCCCAATATAACTGCTATCGGGTGTGGAGTCGGGAGGAGAGGGAGTCTTATGGACAACACGTGCTTTAAATACCATCCAAACAGTAATACAATGTTTGCTGGTATTGAAAACGGACGGGTAGTCCAGACCGGAGAGACGCCGTGGACTGTGTTTATTACAAACAGTTTGAGCAGTGGGTTAGATATGTTCAATATTGACTTACAAGACAATATTTTACTTATAACATTATAAAATACATTAACGTTAGTTAATGTCAAAAGTTTCCTATTTTTCTACAAACAATTGAGCATGTTCTAGTATATGCATACATTTATGTATAACACTAATTAAAAATTAAACATTTTTACTTGATTTTCCCTTGGAGAAACCCTCTTTATAAGAAACACTTTGTTTATGCATCTGCCCATTTCCTATAAAGAGGTTGCACTGTATATGTAAATTAGGTGCCCTAACTATCTAGAGTAAAAATAAATCCCGAGTATTTTGAGTATGTTGTGTTGCATGTATTCAGTAGTTAAATATTTATATTGATGGACTGTTAATTATTTCAAGTCACTTTTGCTATCTTCCCAGTTAACAGAATTTGGATAATTTTTTCCCAAACTTATATCCGGAAGAGATTAACTAAAATTAACAATACTAAACTTATCTTCCAGTTTTAGTGGTGTGATACTGAACGAGCGATGGATCCTAACGTGTGCTCACGGATTACAGTACGCATTGTAGACCATTGGCATTGTTTTGTTTTTATAAAACTTTATACTTTATATCTCAGTTGTGGTCAAAACTGTCCCGTGACTGACATTCGTGTATATCCGGGGCTAATAAATCAAAGCATTTCAAACCATCCCTACTATACGGGCGGTCAGTATTTCATTCATCCCGTGTATGAACTCAATCGTTGGCGGCCCTGGGATTTGGCGTTAATCCGACTCAACACTGCTCTCCCATTGGACGGCACTTCGGGTAAGACTGGGATTAACGCCATTTGTTTGCCCGAAGAGATGGCCCTCAATGTGGACGAAGAGTACGCTCTGTTGAATGGTTTCGGAGCCAACAAAAAGGACGGCACGGGATATGGTATTCAACGCATGGGTTGGACTAAACTGAATGGCGCCGCTTTTGATCCCAACAATACATTGAAACTGAATTTCGTCCTTAATTTTAAACGCATACCATTCCCGACCGGATCCGCCATTTGCAAAGTATGGGAGTGAATGAGAGAGAAAGAGCGAGAGAGAGAGAGAAAGAGCGAGAGAGAGAGAGCAAAAATCTTATTTATTACCCAAAAAACAAGAAATCATATATTTTTTATGGGAAACAATTTACACTAATCTCGAAATCTTAATGAAAGTAAAGTAAACCAATTGTTTGTTGAATTTATTTTATCTCTATTTATATTTAATATAGATTTATAACATTAATAACCATATATTTCCTAAATATTTGATCCGTTTTTATTATTAAATATTTATAATTAAACTAATATTGCATTTAATAAACACCCCTTACATTAGAAAAACAATTGTATATTTAATTTAATCATAAATTATAATAATTTTCACATTTGTTAACACATTGTAAGCGATTATATGGGAGGAAATTGTGTGACTTATTTATTTACAATGAATTTAATTAATAATACAAGTAATTAATTCAATAACTATATGGTAAATATCAATCAATTTCTGGTGTTTTATGGATTAAATCTGAAATTATTTTTTACAAAAAACGATTTCATTTTCTGTTAAACCATAAGATTTATAACAAAAACATCAAAATTGTTTTCATTTATACACAACATATACACTGGGATTACGTATGGATTAAAAGTCACGTTTGGTTCACAAAAAAACTTCTGTAAAATAATTTTTAATACAAAATGATTTTTGTGTTGAATTTTAATACAAAAAAAAACAAAATTAAAAACTGATTTTTTCTCACAACTCGTGTTAATTAGTGTTAAACTTCTTTGAATTTAAATTTTTCGTTTTGATTAAATGGTTAGACTTTTGACTTTTATTTGCCGGCATATAATACTCGGCATATAATTTAATGATAAATACAATGGGAAACTACTGTATCTATTGAATAATGGTAAAATTGATTACATTATTGTTATACATGTATTATATTATTATTATTCAACAATTTCGTTAATCAATTGAAAAGTCACGATAAATCGCTTTCAATCTCTCTCTCTCTCTCTCTAAGTGTAAATTGTTTCCCATAAAAATATATGATTTCTTGTTTTTTGGGTAATAAATAAG